GAGCTGCCCACCAGGGGTGTGTCCACCGCGCAGCCATCCCGGGGAGATGTGTCCATGCGGGGCCCAGAGCGGCAGCTTTCTCGGGGAGCCCAGGACAGCCGTGCGAGCACCGGGGGGCGCCCTGGAGCCCCGCCCCACCATCGGAAGGGCCTCGAGGACCCATCCCGGGACCCCTTGGCTTCCCCGGTCCATCCACGTGCTCCGACTTTGCCGCTGGGAGGCCGAGCCGCCCAGGAGGCAGGAGGAAGGAACGCAGGCCAGGATTCATCCCGGGAAAGGCCCATCCCCTGGCGGGCGCTTCACGGGATTAACCCATTTGGCCGTGGCGCAGCCCTGAGGGTGCTGGCACCGTTCCCATCCGGTGGACGGGACTGAAGCACAAGGGCAGGAAGCAACTGCCATGTGCCCAGCGGCTCACAGCCATGAGGGCCCAGCTGGGACTCAGAGCCTTAGCTGCACACGTGCCTCATCTCAATGGGGAGGGAGAGGGGCCCGGGACCGCCCCAGGCACAGGGACTCACGGGCGGTGGGTGTCTGGGGGAGGGGGAGGGGAGGAAGAGACAGGAGGCTCGCTTCCCAACCCCACCCCGTCCTCCGTCCACACACCCCGGGGCTGGCAGCACTGGCTTGGATGGCCAGCAGGCACTTCAAACACAACAATGACCAGACGTTGGCCAGAGGGGGTTAATATTGTCCCCTCGGCCTGCAGAGGTGAGTCTAGAGATAGCTGATCAGCCCGGGCCGACTCCCTTCCATTGACCACGTCTCTAAACTTGTACCCACGTTCGCAGGTGACTTAACATCGGTAGTGGTTTAAGTTGGTGCCCCCCAAATGATAAGACCCTAATCGTAGAGGTCACATGTTCTCAACAGCAGAACGTCCATGCGTGCTTGGATTCCCTAATACAGGAGACACAGTCAAGGGTGTCCTCACGCCCCTTTCCAGGAAAACCAGCTGGTCCCCAGGCCACTGGGCCTCTCGGGGGCCCTCACAGGAACACCACACATGCGAGCTGAATCAGGGGTTTCAAAGCTCCTGCACCAAATCAGCTACTCGCCCGTCCCCACGCGTCTGTAGAAGCAAAACGTGTCCATGCTGACTTGGAGCGAATGAGCGTACAGCTGCCTCTCCCTGAGAGCCACTGGGTCGGGGAAAACCAACATTTCTGAGCAGCCCTGACGGCTAAAAATACCCTCACTTCTCCTTTCACCGTCTGGTCACGGCCCCAGACGCAAGCTCAGCACGGCCGGGTCCCAGCACCGGCTCAGCACTGCCCACCTCCACTGGCCACTGGACTGAGACAGGGCATCGCCTCGTCTCTCCTCCGCAGACACGGCCACAGCCATGGTGAGGGCACACAGCAGCCCGCTCCGGAGCAGCTGCTGAAGGGGGCTACCTCAGACTGGCACCTCAGGAGAACTTGGAAAGGAGAGTCCTTTTTTAATTTAAAAAATGTTTTAATCCTCACTGAGGATATTTTTAAAATTTATTTTAGAGAGAGGAAAGGAGAGAGGAAGAGAGAGGGGGATGTGAGAGAGAGAGAGAGAGAGAGAGGGAAATCAATGTGAGAGAGAAACATCAATTGGTTGTCTCCCGAAGGCAGATTCCTGAGCGGGAATCAAACCCACCACCTTTCTGGTTTGGATGATGCTCCAACCAGAGGAGCCACCGGGCCAGGGCAGTAGAGCTTTTTTTTTTTTTTTTTTTTAGAAAAAGCGTTACTTTAACTACACAATGGGCACAACTGTGCACCCCAGAGCCCCAGCTAACTGTAGGCACAACATTCCTACTGACACCCAGCACAGGAGGTCGCACGGAGGGAGACTTCTGCGGAACATGCCTGTGGGCAAGCCACACTGACCTCCTGCAGCTTCAAAGATGCCCTCATTGCACCACCCGCCGGAGAAGCAGCCCCTCCCGCCAGCAGCTCCGCCCGCCTGCCCCTGAGGGCAGTAAAGATGAGAAGGTGATCCTTCCCACCACGCTGTGTACACAGCGGCCAGCGCGCTCTTCCTCCTAAGTTCCAAGTTCATTTCTTCTAAAACGAGGCGAGAGGTGACTCACGGGGACTGCAGAGAAGGAGGGGGGACGTGCTGGCTCCCAGGCCTGACCCCCCGTGTCCGGTCTCAGCAGCACACAGCCCGCAGCCACCTTGCCAGCCGGCCCCGTTTCCTTCCCAAACGTGAGGGGTCCTGACGTCAGAAAGAGCCCGAGGACGGCCCCACGTCCCCCTCGGGCAGAGGAAGACCTTCCAGAACCTCCCGGGTCCAACCACGCAGGTTTCACTTTTCAGCGTCCACTGAGATGCTTGTTTTTCAATCCGACTCCCTGTGCTCCCCCTCCAGTGCTCTGGCTCCGGGGAGTGTCCGCGTGGCCCACAGCAGAGCGAGCCGAGCATCGCCCTGGAGTCACACCGACGGCCCTGGGACGTGTGCGAGCTTTCTGGTGCCGAGATGACGGCGGGTCACGGTCACCGAGATCTGCCTTCATCTCACGTCCTTGTGTATTCCCTCCGCAGGTGACACAGGAAGAGGGCAGTGGCAGGCCCTGGGACGCCCTGGGCTGGGGACACCCACAGGCTTATCAGGGCGCCTTCGAGAGCAGGGGAGGACCAACTGACGGCCTTTTAATGTGCTGTTGTCTATATGGGCAACCCTCACTCCAACTCCTCCTGCCGCAGTTCCTCCTCATCCTGCAGCTCGCACCCTGGGAATCGCTCCTCATCGAACCTCCCGGGAGGAAGGCAGCTTCCCCCAGAGCACCTCTTCCCTGGCAGCAGGCACCCCGACTCCTCACCAGCTGCTTTCTGTGCACTCACGTAGGTCCCGTGATGACAGAGGTCATGTCTGTTTTTTCATCACTGTCATCATCCTCTCAGTGCCAACCAGTGGGCAGCACACAGTAGGTGCTCAAGAATTGCACGCTGAGTGAATGAATGAACGATGACATTAGCCTGGGTGGACCTGCCCGGGCTGCTCTGACCTCTGAATGTCCTGTGGAAGGCACCTCTAATCGCATCTCCATCTCTTCCTGACCTTGACCCCACCCAATAAAACATAATAAATGCTGGTGTATCGTCTTACTGCCAACAGCCAGGTGCAGATAACTGACATTCGACTCACTGGAGGGATTTATGAACCTCGTCTAAGATTCTACTGTGGTAGCATAATTAACTTCTCTCTGAAATTAAAAATTCCTCCCGGTTTTTTCATAGACAGAGCATCAGCCTGCGGACTGAAGGGTCCTAGGTTTGACTCCAGACAAGGGCACATGCCCGGGTTGTGGGCTTGATCCCTGGTAGGAGGCATGCAGGAGGCCGATCAATGACTCTCTCTCATCATTGATGCTTCTCTCTCTCCCCCCCTCTCCTTTCCACTCTGAAATCAATATATCCATCTATCTATCTATCTATCTATCTATCTATCTAAAATTCCTCCCTTCAACAACATTGCCAGGAGTACCTAGAACAGAGCAGGGCTGAGTATTAACTCTGAATTTTTAAAGTTTATGAAATGCTGCCCCAAATCTCTCTCTCCGGCCTCTGATGACGCTCTATTCCTTGGGCCACCTGCTGTGGAAAGAACGCAGGCCCCCAGTCCAGGGGGGTGTTCACCTACAGCTCTGTGTGCTGCTGGCTCACTTCCTCCCCCATCCCGCACGCAAGGCATGGAGAATACCCCACTCTGCCATCAGCATCTGTTCAACAGCTTCATCACACAGCCCTTCCCGCCTTCCCACCAACAGCCTCTCCACAGCCTCTGACTGGCCAACTCAGCCGGCCCACATCTCCCACCTCCAACTCCCCTGGCGCACAGAGATCTTACGCATTCAATCCCCTCAAGGACTTTACCTGAACCGCCACGGTTCTCCACTTTCCCAAAAGCTCTATCCCGCAACAGGAAGGGCAGCAGGCGGCCTGGCTGAGTGTGAAAGGTTCACCCTGTCAACAACCTGGATCTTGGAGAGGACCCAGCGCGAGCCAGCGTAAGGCTTCCACCGGAAACGTGAAGTGAGAAACGAAGATCTGCCCATTCTCCCGCTGGCTCTAGGTGGTCAGGATGAGAATGACACACGTCTGTGAGGGATTTTACTATCCCTTTTACAGACTGGTCTTGGCCTACTCTCAGGGTCCGAGAGCACGGGACCTGGGTCGGGAGACCCAGGCTCAAGTCCCGGCTTCACCCCTTAACTGTGTGCGCACCGGGCGAGCCGCTGTTGGCACGCAGGTGCCGTGGGATCCAGACTCCGTCTCGCAGACTCAGTAAGTAAGGGGAGGCATGGGAAACTGCCTCCTACCTGTCAACACCAGACACCGCACTCCTAGTTTCCACGTTGTTTCTGCCACTCGCTCTCTCTGATACTCTGTGTCAGGGTATCTATCCAAAAGCCAACGACACCAATCCTGGCTCTTCCCGGGGCAATGCGCGTCCGGGAAGACATATAAGACAGGGGGAAGTGAGAACCCCAGGTAACGCACACACACAGGGGTAAGCAGAGCACGAGGGGTCCTGAGCAGTCAGGAGAGGCTTCCTGGAGGAGGTTTCAGATGAGGGGACAGTGGTGGCTTGCTAGGAAAGGAGCAGAGGAAAGAGCTTCTGTGCAGAGAGAGGCTTCGTTTGGCTGGAACAGAGACCCCCAAGCAGCGGTCAGGATGGGGGAACGCCCATGAGACCAGAGCACGAAGCCCCTCAGCCGTGTCGGGTGGGACCAGTTTCCCCTGACTGAGGCCTTCTGCAGCCAACCCAGCAGCAGCAGCACCGCAGCGGGCCGGGCTCCGGAGCCTGACAGGGCGCCTCCGTGATGGGCCCACCCTCACTGGGAGGCACACCGTTAATGAGCTCGTATTCATTGCCAATAATAAAAGAAAGGGGATTCCATCAGGGGCCATGGGCCAAGCTGTGTTTTTGTTGCTTTGCTAATTACCTTTATTTTGGACATCCTCTCTTATAACCAACAGCGCATTGGCTGGGGTCATGGGCGGTTTATGATAATATACCTCACTAATAACAAGCTATAACCAGGTGATCAGGCATGGCACAAAAATGCCCAGCTTTGGGGGCTGAATCTTTTCTTCTCTAAGACATGAAAACCAGTGGGGGAAAAAAGTCATTTACCAGCCCTGGCTGGTGTGGCTCAGTTGCTTGGGCGTCATCATGTGCACCAGGAGGCTGCCAGTTCGATTCCCAGTTGAGCACGTGCCCAGGTGGCGGGCTGGATCCCCAGGAGGGGGTGTGCAGGAGGCAGCCAACTGATGCTGCACTCTCACATGGATGTTTTTCTCTCCTCTCTAAAAATCAATAAAACATTCTTTAAAAAAAGAAGGCAATTTACCAAAAGAAACTGAGTGGCCCCAAAAGGTAAAAATACCTCCCAAACAGGAGTCATTTATGAAAACAGAACAGGATACAAATGAAAGCCTGGGGCTTAGGGGCCAGGCTGCTGTGACTGGATCCCTGGCTCCCCCCTGAGCGGTTTGATGTTGGGGGGAATGACTGACCGGTCGCTCTGACCCTCAGTCCTCTCTCTGTGAAATGGGTGTAGCAATGGTACCCGCCTCACGGGACTGTTTATTAAAACAGACAACCAAGTGAGGAACTTGGCACGGTGCTCGGCCAGGGCGTCAGCTACTGCTGTCACTATGACACTACCCTCTAGCACCTGTGCGGGGTCAGGTCTGTTCTCACCTGTTTGCGTGAATGAACACAGAATGGGTTATCCTGGTTGATCCAGACCCCGAGCACGGGGGCCACGGGAAACGCAGCCGCCTCGAGCTGGAGCTCGGGGTGTCCATCGGGACCGGCGCCCAGGAGGCCACAGCTCAGAGGCAGTGCCGTCCCAGCGGTTCATCTCAGTCTCACACGGGCTCGCTCGTGGTGGAATCAGTGTGTTAAAAACAGCACACGGGAAAATCTTCCTGATGGATCTTAAACCCCGGTTCTCAGTGCCCTCCGTTGGCTTTTAATCCCCGAGAGGAACACGTTAAGTAGTTCCTTAGGGCTTTCTCTCCCAGATTCCGATCTTACAAGTTAAAGGTGCACCTCAAAGATCGCTTCCTTTCCTTACAACCTGATACACAATCCCTCTGCCTGTGGCTATACCCAAAGGCTGCACTGTGTTTGGATGTAAACTCGCTTTAAAGCTATTTCCATTTTTGGCCTGAGCCACCCCGGGGGAGACCGGGTGGGTTCCACGCAGGTGTGACTCAGTTTCCCAATGGAATGACACCTTCCTCAGGATTCCCAGCGCTAGCATCACGGGGTTTGGAAAAGAACCTCAGCCTCACTGCACAGCATTTATGGCCGCGCAATCTTACTTTCCTTATTTAAACAGCTGTGGGTTTAGATGATTCACGAGCCTGAGTCACACCATGGCGATGACTGTGGGAAGGGTGGGCTCCTACAGGGTCCTCTTTGCATGTTAACTGCAGGGGAGGCAGGAGGTCGGGGGTTAGAGCAGTGTTTTGTAACTAAAGAGCTCCCCTCCCCCCCACACACCCCTGCTCCTGGTAAATTACTAGGAGCAGCTTCTCTTGGTGTTTGTGATGGTGTTCACTATCTTACTCTACTAATAGAAACTGCTAACAGTTTCCTGGAAATCAAATCTGCAAACTAGAGAAAAAAGGAACTAGAAAAAAATGTCTTCGATATTCTACTTCTGAGTTCAAATAATGATTCGGGAGGTTTGAAAATTATCACAGGAAAGCCTAATAAACTCGGTCCTTTGGTGCTTTCGTGTCTGCAGAGAGAAAGGCGGTGCTGGGCTGGGAGAGGTCGGCGTGGGCACCTCTGAGCCCCCTGCCCGCCTGCTGGTGCTGGGAGGTGGACAGCGGGTGAGGATGGGGCGCTGTTCTCAGAGGCTGAGAACAGGAGACAGCACGGTGGTTTGGGGAGTAACATGCTGCCTCCTGCTGGGGCATATAAGTGAGAGGGGACAGTGGCAAGAGGAAAACTCTGGCTACTTAATTTTTTTACCTGAAAATCATTCATTCAAATAGGATGCCTCTGCTGATTGTTGATGTTACTAGAACATCAATTTAGGTTGCGTTATTATTCTTTCTTTAGTGTAACTACTCTCCCATTTCAAAGCGCTTGCTGGTCAGACTTCTAAAATGCCACAGCATCACTCACTATGGGCAGCCGACCCAGAACAAAGGTGACAGGGACCACAGAGGGGTCTCCTGAGGTCGGCAGAGGCGGGAATGTGCCCCGTCAGCAGCTGGTCAGCTCACAGCGTCCTGTGAGTAAGGCTTCCTCCCAAAGGCCTCAGGATGCCCCGCATTCCTCCCCGGGAGCTAACGGGCTTCACAACGCCAGCCCTGCCAGCCCCAGGCCCAGAGTCTGCCAACTTCGGTGGCTGTCACTTCCTGGGAAGTCCGTTCAGAGAAGCGGGAAAACACTGCCTTCCCAGATTCCGAGGAAGGGGTGGGTGCTGACCTACGCTGTGTGTTCGAGATTACAATCACAGATGTGGGATGAAGAGAAAACCTCCCACATAGCCTGACACAACCCACTGGCTTCACAGACAGGAAACGGAGGGTCGGAGGGGAAGCAGTGCAGGACACTGAGCCACCACTGATTCCTAGTGGCGACCCCAGGCAGGCCGAAGGTGCCTTGTGCTGTCCCCCTGGGCAGGCTCTGGCCGCACCGAGCACCAGCAGCCGGTCTGCTAAGACAGCTGCAAACCCATCTCAGATCTGGGAGCCTATCGGACCTCAGAAACCATGGGACCGCCAGGTGCTCATCACTTAGGCTGGAAAAGGTAATGAAACGCCATACCTCAGGTTCATGCGACTTAATCACTCACTGTGAACCAGGGCCCCTCAATGACAAATGTCAGCAGGCTGGTCTGAGTGCCAGGCTTTGAAAGGAGACCTCTCTCTCTCTCTCTCTCTCTCTCTCTCTCTCTCTCTAAGTCAATGGAAAAATATTCTCAGGTGAGGATTTTAAAAAAAAGACACCTGCCTGGCACAGAGTGGGTATTAATTAAATAGCTGTAACATAAATGAACCAAAAATAATGTAACGTTTTTGTCTGAAGTTTTTTTTTTTTTTTTTTAAAGGTAATATTCAATACTGATGGAAATATGGTGAGATGGGCATTTCATACATTGCTATACAATGTGGATAATTTGGTACAAATTTTGCAGAAAACAATATGGCAAAAAGTATCAAGAATCTTTAAAAAGTTAAGCTTTTTTGACTTAATGAATTCATTGCAAATAATCTATCCTCAGGAAGTTATGATTCCTGTTATGAATCCTGCCTCCTTTACCACATGTGGGCAGGAAATATTAGTAGGGCTTTAAGTGATGGGATCAGATATAATTTTTATTTCTTCTTTCTGCTATTCTTATTTTAAAAGAAGTGTTACTACAAATGAGTTAGAAAAAAATTAAAAATACCACATTAAAAAATTGACAGAGAGGGAGGGAGGGAGAGGAGAGAGGAGAGAGAAACCTGCTATTCCACCCATCTATGCATTTACTGACTGACTGTTGCATGTGCCCTCGAATCAAACCTGAAACCCTGATGAATCGGGTCGACACTCTAACCAACTGAGCTACCTGGCCAGGGCTGCTCATCTCTCTTGAGTCTACTTCCAAAGGTGTCCCCATCATTTCCCCGCTGTATGTGACGAGAGCAGCTTTCTTTACCTGGTCTCCTTACCTGGCCTGACAGGGCCCCTCATCCACCCCCACCCCGATTTGTTCTCCGCACGGCACTGATCTTCCTGAGTGTGCTTCCTGCCACACTGGCTTCCCGGGGAGACATCTCCAGGCCAGCAAGCTGGGGCGTCAGACCTCTGTTATCAATGACCCCTCACTTCCTCTCCTTCCATCACCCCTTCCCCCCACCCCCACCCTCACCCTCACAGCTCTGCATAGGCGGCTCCTTCTGGCTGGCCCCTCAGCACAGTGCTTGCCTCCCTCCTCTCGCTGACCCGTGGAGCGAGCGCTGGCCTCTGGGAGTCAGGGACATCACCAGCATCAGGAAGCCTCCTGGATGGCACCCGGCGTGCTGTTTCTACGCGCTCATGGCACCGATCACACGTACGAACCTGCTGTGAATCCTGCCTCCTCTACCAGGACTGTGAGCGCCAGGCAAAGAGGCCCTCCGTGTCTGCTGAACGACCCAATACATGTGTCTGCCATCCGAAACAGAGTGACCGGGTCTTGTCCTGAAGGAGATCCCAACCAGAGATTTCATCACTTCCCTCAGCCAGCCACGCATCTATTTTATCACCTTGGCAATGGAGATGGTCTTTCTTATCTATTAATCAGCCAGTAAACAAGTTTATTATGTACCTGATGTCCTCCAGTTCTACCTGAATCTATTTACTCCTGCTGAGCCGATCACAGTGTCACCGAGGTCCCCCCACGTCAGCCATTTAAGTACTGCAATGGACAACAGGGTGGTGCTCACAGGGGGGCGTTAGGGGGGATAAATGGTGATGGATAGAGACTTGACTCGGGGTGGTGCACACACAATATGGTGTACAGATGTGGTGTAGAATTGTGTCCCTGAAACTTGTATCATATTGTTAACCAGTGTCACCCCAATGAATTCAATAAAAAGGACAAAATAAATTAAAAAAATAAAGTATCACAACCCACCGAAGGAAAGCAGGTCCCGTGCTGGGCCCAGGAATGTAAAGGTAAATCAGACCGTGACAGCCACCGGGAGGAAACCCGCCACCTTCTGCAGTCCACAGACCCCTTGCGCTAGAAGGGCGCGTGGCTTCTCTGGGCCTGTGTGTCAGCTTCCAACGGCCCACAATCTGCTTTCCAGTGGGACCCAAAGCAGACACAACAATGAGCCTGACTAGCAGGTCTTATTCTCATACCCTTTTATGTCACATTCCTTTCAATACACCCAAAATCATGTATATTTTTTTCCACAACAGCATTCCAGTATTGACTTCAATTTAGTGGAAGGGCAATGAGAGCAACCATTTTTAAAAACAGTGTTTTTTTGTTTTTGTTTTTTTTAATACTCAATAGATGTATCTATTCTCACCAAATTTCTTCTGCTAATGGAGAATCAACTTCCCAGTTTGGTGCAATCTTATACATTATATTTCTGGAGCTCAGATGACTTGCTGACCTACCTAATTTGGTCACACACACAATGGGAAAGAAACAAGGAAGAAAAGCGAGTTCATTATATGCACGAGGAGAACTCCCAGCTGCTGAACGCTGCGTCTGCAGGCCTCTGGGGACTTCACAGTGTGCTTCAAAGTACATGTGGTGGGATGCTGAGGGATCCTGGGGTCTCTGCTTGGAGGTGCTGGTGATGTTAGCTACTATTGTATCTCCATTTCATATTAGTCACATGTCTTCTCCACCCTTCCTCCGTGTCCCCGGCTCTGTCCTCCCACCTCGCAACCACAGAGAACGCTTCCTTCTGACTTGGACGCCTCTCCTTGCAGATCAGAGTGTTTCCTGGGACCCGAAAGGAAAGCACAGTCTCGGGGTACTGCCTCGGTTTAGGCCGGAGGCCTCAGGTGAGCTTCCCTGGGGCTGAGAATGCCCCAACAAGCAGGCGAATGTGGGTGTCTGGGGGTGGCTTCCGCACAGTCTCACAGGGGCCTGACATCCCAAAAAGGTTAAGAGCTCGATTTAGGCTGGAGTCCCTACCTTCAGGGCACTCAGACCTGAGGCAGTAAATGGAATAAACATCACCAGCACGACTGACCCTTTCTATTCAATCATCCCCAAGAGAACGAGAAATCCTGTAGTCATCACACACGAAACACCTTTTGCATCAATGAAGAATGTAACTAGAGGGGTGATCTGGACGGTCCAGCAAATATAAAATCATACTGAGGGCAATAATGCAACACTTCAAATAGCTATCAATCACTTCAAATATCTTAGTGTCTGCTTTTAGCCAGATTCAATATATTTTTCTTTGACCTCTTTCCACACCTTTAGCTTATCTGGTAACATTGATTTAAAACCAAAACATTAGGAATCAAAAGTCCCTCTGCACATGAATAGTATGAGCCCCACACATATGCCTTTCATGTAACTATTAGTAATCATATTATTTTTGTTAGACTATACTGTTACCTTCCATACTTGTGTTTTAAATAACATTATACAAAATCACTTCATATAAATGTCAAAATCAAAGCTGCCTTCACATCAACACACCACCAAAAAATAGCGAAACATATCTTAACCCTTCGCTTTCATTGGTGCCTGTGTTGTGTTGTTTTTTATAATTATCACCATGCCCAGAGTATTTACACAGTTAAATAAAAAATGTCCTTCACAGCTTTCTTTTGGTGAGATGCCATTTACAGAAATTTAAAAGAAAGAACCAGTGGAAATCAGAAATCGCTGCCATCCATACTCACCACCGAGACGCACACAGAGGGTGCCCGGGCGCGGGCCGGCCGGCCGGGAGGAAGCAGTGGGTTCATTCGGGAGAGCAGGCGAGCAGAGACAGCGAGTGGCCACCCGCCGGCCTCCAGCTCATCCTCTCTGCAGACACACGGATTCTGGAATCCTCCAGGACTCACAATGAAAACCACTAGGTTGTTTTCTCAATTCCTATGAAATGAGTCAGTAGGTCACACAGCGTCTCCACTCTGGAGACAACAATCCCGAAGCCGCACTCACTGTTTCCAGTCAGTAACCGTTCCTTCCTCGGCCCCCTGGCTGACGTGCTGCCCACAGCCCAGCCCCCCGGGGTCTGCATGAGACAGAACTCCCGGGCAGGTCCCACCAGGTTAGTCCTCTCCACGGAAGACTTCCCTGTGAAGGCTTTAGAAGGGGGGGAGGGAGGAGTAATCCAGATGGAAGTTTCTTCATCATAACTATTTTTTTGTTGAGACCATGTAGTCATTTCTTTCTTTCACATAAAGGGAGAGAATGATACTTCAACACAGAAGAGCAGTAACTGTACTTGTAAAAGCCCTGTTCTCCCCCCTTCCCCCCCTCCCTCCGCCAAAAGGACTAGTATATTCAAAAGATTCCAGGACTAGTCAATTAATCCACGTTCTGAAAATCCCTTCCCCAGCTTCTGTGAGCCCTGCAGTTCCATCATTAAATCATGCAAAGCAGAACACTTAGGAGCCTGCCAGCAGTCCTTGGAACCCGCAGGTCAAGGCGACGAATGCCAGGTTAGCAACAATCTCAACCTATACCTCCCACTCACCCCGTGGAGCGTCTCTCGTAGCCAGTGACCTTCTACACAGGAAATCACCGTCTACCAGCAAAGAATCCATAATTCCAAGAACTCACACAAATAAATACATATATATTCCGGCAAACACATGGGCACGTCTCTCAACAAAGGTCCAGAGGTCCTCCGTGACAGCTCCTCGGCAGGACGCTGGGAACACTTTTGCTTTCTGTCTAGCCAGTACTTTCTTTCTTTTTAAAGAGGAGGTTTCGTTTTGATCTTGAGAAATTCTCCTCTGATAAAACCACCAACTGAAAACCTGCCATTATAAACGAGGGATTTCACAACAGTCATTCCAAAAAACTGTGGCTATTCATTTCTGGAAGTGATTCATTGCAAAAGAATCGTTGTTGGCGGTGGGGCGAGCATGAATTTTTAGAAGGCAGCCCGGCCTCTGAGAAGTGAGCAAAAACCTCAGAGAGGGCAGCCACGTGCCCCCGGACCCCATCGGGGCTCCTGAATCACCGTCTCCAGATCACACGCTGTGACCCATTTCCTCTGACTCCCTCGGCCCCTATGCCCTGGAGTAAATCCTTGGGGGGGCGGTTCAGAGAAATCGGGGCGGGCTGCAGCCCCATTCTCCACCTGTCAACGCTCAGTTACTGGCGAGGAACCAGCATGTGGATACTCACTTCCTGTGAGTATTTCTAAAAGAGCTTATGATATTTCCTTTTTTTTGGGGGGGGGGGGGGGGGGGAGAGAGAAAGCAGCACAGCGAGGAAAGTAACCCCAACAAGCAAAGCTAAAGGCATGCAGCGTGCTCACTGCTCGCCAGCCACGCCTAATTTTAATTTGGTTTCTCAGCCCCGTGTAATTAAGACAGCCAAAGGAGACAGCATCAGAGAAAGGGGATAAAAAAGACATTTTACAAATGCCTAGACCTTCAGAGAGCGTGACCAGAAAAGTAATTTTAAGATTCAAGTGAACCAATCTGAAGCTGGTTCGAGTGTTAACCCTTCAGGGAGAGAGAAAGAGTTACTCGTGTTTATCTCCAAATTTCAAAGATGGAAATCGCCTTCCCTGCTGGGCACCGAGACATAGGAGACACGGGTGCTGAGCACCGCCCGGGGCGGGGGTGGGGGAGGGGGTGAGGAGGGGGTGTGTGAGAAGACCTGGTCCAGGTCTCTGTGATGGGGGGAGGGGGAGGAGAATAGCACTACTGCTAAGGCCCTGTCACATTCACAGAACGGCATCTGGCTTTCACACCAAAGCACGCTTTGAAAACTGGCCATGAAGAACTAGAGGGTGACCTTTAGGATTTCTCTCGGCGTTAGCCGCACCTGGTCATTTACATCAGAGGAGAGTAGAATGTCTTGACAGCTGGGCAAAGTGAGTAAGAGGAATTGCTTTTATCCCACCCCAAAAAGTACGGAAGGTGCCAGAGTTCCTTCTCTGAAGGGACTAAGAGACATTTTGCTGACAGAGAAGCTTTAAAAAAGCCTGTCCTTCATTTGGGCTCGGGGCTGTGCCTCCTCCAGGGGGTGGAGGGGTTGGTGGGAGGGTGAGGGTGAGGGTGAGGGTTAGGGTTAGGGACCACCAGCCTCTCTGAGCCACCCTCACCATCAGTGATAAACAGACTGACACTCACACATCTGCCTATTGGACCCTCTCAGCAACCCTGCCGGCTGCATTCTACTCTTCCCCCCATCCCGCAGACAAGGAAACTGAGCTGGGAGCTTAAGGACTTGGCCAGGGACACGTAATCAGCAGGCGGTAAAGCCGGCACAGAGAGCCAGGGAGCCTGACCTTGACCACCCTGCCTGCAGCCTTCCATGAGCAGGTGTGCCGGTCTCACCCAGCTGGGGTGCCTGGTAAGTTAAACAGCATATAGGAAACTGCCTTGAAAACCACCCGGGAGCCCAGCTGGTGGGGCACTGTGGCTGAGAGTCAACCTATGAACCAGGAGGTGACCGTTTGATTCCCAACATGCCCAGGTTGAGAGACTCAATTCCCAGTGGGGGGCGCGTAGGAGGCAGCTGAATGACAGTTCCCTCTCATCTATGATGTCCCTCTCTCTCTGAAATGAATAAAAACATATTTAAAACACACACACACACACACACACACACACACACACACGAGGCAGGATTATAATCATGCCAGACACAAATATATTCTTTGCAGAATTTAGAGAAAGTTAATGATAATTAAGCACTTGTCACGCTAACACTAGTTTGTTTTCTGAAAACAGCTTCTCATAATTTGCAAACTGCTTGTTTGCAAAACTTGATATTGAGTTTTGGAGGGAGAGGGGATTCGAGGCCTTCTTTTCAGGCAGTATGGTTAAGTGAGGCTCAAGGTCAGAGTTAAATTTGAATCTTTAACCTGTAGCTCCCAGGGGAACACTGACCCACTGCCCACAGCCTCACAAGGGCTGCTGTGGGGCAGTTCTCAGGCAATTTAATCTGTCAGGCCTCCATCCATCCATGTGACGCATGCATGTGTAATATTAGTCCTCACAATGATGGTCTCTTAATACTTTCCTTTTACTTCAAGTTCCTCTGGCTTTAAGAAGATAGAAAGATGAGGGAAAAACCTGTTTTCCCATTTTTTAATTTTTTTTTTTAATTAGGGAAAAACAAAGTTACTAAAATTCTGGTTATGATAAACCTAACTCAAGTTCTACCCAATTCTCTCTTTTTTCTTTAAACTTGCTCATATGTAAACTTTGTGATGTTAAAAAAAAACACACACACACAAAACTGTCTTTCCTGTGTGATCATTCATTCCTTTTATTTTTATTAGGGTGTAGCTGATGCCACTTGCTTATTGAATATGGCTACCAGAGTAAGTGGAAGTTGGGGGATTCCTCAGGTTTTGTGTGGCTTTTTAAAATATATTTTTATTGACTTCAGAGAGGAAGGGAGAGGGAGAGAGAGACAGAGAAATCAACGATAAGAGAGAATCATTGACTGGCTGCCTCCTGCATGCCCCACACTGGGTATTGAGTCTGAAACCTGGACATGTGCCCTCTTGGTTCATAGGTTGACGCTCAACCACTGAGCCATGCTGGCTGGGAACTCTCAGTTTCGAGGGTGAATGATGATATGGCAACTCACTTTTAAGAGAAGTCATTTTGATAGAGAGAAGAGGAGGTGTGTGTGTGGAGGGGAAGGGGAGAGAGAGAGAGGGAGAGAGAGAGAGAGAGAGAGAGAGAGAGAGAGAGAGAGAGAGAGAGAGAGAGAGAGAGAGACACCAATCAGATTCCTCCTGCATACCCTGCAACCCAGCATGTGCCCTGGTCAGGAATCACACAGGCAACCTTTTTGGTGCACAGGATGACACTACAACCAACCGAGCCACCCTGGCCAGGGCTGGCCATTGAGTCTTCAAGGAAGATGTAATTTCCTATGTAGGATCTTTAAGCTCTTCATGCTATTCATTCCATAAAGTCTGGCCTTGCTAGTTTCACTTGAGAGTTTTTTTGTTTTTGTTTTTGTTTTTAATGGTTCTCCATCACATTGGGTCACATCAACCTGAAAATATCTTTCCCCAAAATAAAGACATTTGTTGACAATAAAAGTCAAGCGGGGAAAAAAGTTAAGACCACATTATGGTTTTATTTCCACTTAAGAGAGCAAAGATTCTAGGAAACTGATGTACGTTAAATTTATAAGCCGGCTCTTTTTTCCTCCCTGAAGATTTATTTGGCATGAAACGTTACTTCCTGTGCTGTATCATGAAAGCAAAAGTTATTTACTCTTGTCATTCATACTTCCTGTCATAAAAACCTGAACTTGGCTGGAATATTAGAGATCACCTGCAAAAACCTATAGGGAGGAAGTGACTGCATGGATATACGTTATTTTAAGTTCACATCCCAATCTGACAAAGGGACAGACCATCCCTTTTTGGAGAGGCCAGTATTAGGCTTTATCACCTCAGGGGACTAGCCCCACTTACGGCCTGCAGAATGCCCTGGAGGGCAACAAGAGCTTTCTGCGTTTACTGAGCTCAGTCCATGGTTTGATGGCAGCCCGCAGGGTGCCTCCCAGGGGTGCTGTGTATATGCTGAGCTGCAGTGTAACTAAGAGTATCTACGGTCTAGGGTTGAAATCGTGAAGATTCAGAAACTGAAGCAGGGTAGGTAGAGGGGCTCATTGTAAATGCAAGTGGGCGTTTGCCTCTGGTGCCTGCACACGTCTGAGAGCAAACAAGCTTCCAGACTCCCAGGCTTCTGTGTGTGTGCTGGGAGTGCTGAGCCAGGGTAACATACAGGGAGAGAAGACAGTGTGCGTGAACAGATTTGTTTGCAAAGCAGGCCTAGCAAAGTCTGTCTCTCGGTGCACAGCAGGACCCATCCAACAAAACAAACACGCAAACACAGAATCTATGGAAATGGCGCTCCTTTCTGACAAGGTGTAAGGGACTGTGATGATAACTGGCCAGAAGGTACAATAGCCAAGTTTATTTATTCAGCACTGCCATCTTCTGTTAATCCTTCATACTAGAATTTCCAATTGGACAGTGAGGTCATTTAAACTCATTAGGAGAGAACAAAACCAACGCAGTCTACTTCCTTTAGTTTAACTAATTGTATGGCCATCTGACCAAGCTTGGGAGTTGGGACCCTGACTCCCTTCCTTACTGAACAGAGCTGAGCCAGTCGTCACCGATCTGACCAGCCCCTTTCTCAGTGACGGCTGCCTCTGTCCGCTCTCTCCCATTCCCGCCTCCAATGAACACTGTTCCCCCACAAGTATAAAGGCCTTTTTAATTGGTCAACTTGCCAGCGAGCAACCGTGTGGTGGAAAAATACAGGGACTCGGCTCTGCCAGACACAAACCATGAGATCCAGAGAAAGTTATGTAATTTTCTTGGGTCTCAGTGTTCTCATCTATAGCATGAAGAAAACAGCTATCAAATTATGTGATCTAATCCATGGTGTACACAATCATCAAACATAATCTTGTGAAATTTAGTCTCCTTGGGTCACTGCACACCTTAAAAAAGCTTCAGTGACTTTGCTAAAATTTAAGTTCTTCTGCTGAATTAAATGGGAACGTCTCATATGAAGTGAAAGGCACCACAGAAATACAATAGCAACTCTAATAGGAATAATTTTCTAAAAATATATTTTTATTGATTTCAGAGAGGAAGGGAGGGAGAGATAAAAATATCAATGATGAGAGAGAACCATTGGTCGACTGCCTGCTGCACGCCCCACACGGGGTGTATCGACCCCGCAACCCGGGCATGTGCCCTGACCGGGGATTGAGCTGTGACCTCCTGGTTCACAGGTTGATGCTCAACCACTGAGTCATGCTAGCTGGGCTAGAAATCACTTCTTGAGCTGCATGCACTATGTATTATCCAGGAGTTTTATATATGTGGGCTCTGGTTCCTATACCATGCTATGAGTGGGTTTTATTACTCTACATGACAGATCAAGAATTTTAGGTTCTGTGAATAATTCACCCAAGTTTTATAACCTAGTGAAGTGCCAGGGATGGCAATGCAAATCTATGTGGTTGAGTATAAAGCCCACTAAGCCTACCAGAGTGCTTTGCCTATAACATGATGGGGGTGGGGAGGGGGGGAAGAAGGGGCAAGGGTCCTTAGTAACTTGAGTAATCATTCGCTGACTCCCTGTGGTTACCAGGCTGCAGAAGGAAGCATAGGTCATCAGAATAGAAAAATATTGACCAAGTTATCACTCAATGTGTAGATCACATTAACATGAGTATCTATTCCTGCTCACTTTCTTGGCTGGTTAGCATCACAGAATAAAAATGCAAACACAATACAGTTCACTTGTAAGGTGAAACTGCACGTTTACATGAAGTCGACAAGGATGACTCCAGAGAACTGCCTGCTCTTTTGTCACACATGGTCATGGACAAGTAAGGGTCAAAGAGAGTTTGAACAGTTGCTAACTGTTCAAGGAAGGAAAAGTCAACAGAAATGATTACATGAGCGAGAGACTCTTTGAGAGAATGGTTTGTCTATCAAAAGACCGAGAGCGGCCCCTGGGAACATTTGAATGTGTAGGCACCCTCTTTAGGTTGTGATTCTACCACAGAAGTCAACATTCAATCTTTGCTCTAAAGAAATAACATATTGTTGCGCCATATCCCAAATTTCTGTTATATAATGTAAAACAAGCTTAAGATTCCATTTTTAAAACTTCTCCTAATAAAAGTTAATCCCAATAAAATACTTTTAAAAATGTTTCTCTCTCTTTCTCTTCCCCTCTCTTTTCCTTTTCTCTAAAATCCATAAACATATCCTTGGGTGAGGGTTAAAAATGATGTTACTGTGCATTTTAAATGTGTGACTCAGCTTTAAGTTGATTCTCTCAAAGTCAGTTTTCTAGACCATTATCTTCAGATAACAACCTCTAGTAATGATCGTGACAGAGAAAGGAAGAATAAAAGGATTACTGAAATGCAAACAGCAGTCAGCAAAAAAGCACTAATCCTCTAGTCCACAAGTAGAAAGTAATGTCCTGGTTTTCCACCCATTTCAAGGTTCTCCCTAGTCCAAAGCACGCATGCTCATGGGCTCCACGTCCATGCCCACTGCTGCATCTATGGTGGCACTGACGTGGCATTCAGCCACATGGTGCTGAGCTGACCCCTGGGCAGGTCTGCTGTCCAGGCAAAACTTGACTGCAGTTCAGGCGACTCTCAGTGTAAAACCAAATTTTACAAGACACATTCCATCCATTCCATCTTTACCCAGCTACCTCACAGTTTCCACTTCTTTTCCAAAAGACAGGAGTTTATACCCTGGAAGAATCTTGTCTTATAATAATCTACTTTAAAAAGGTCCCAGCTGTGTCAAGATTCTTCCTGATAAAAAAAACCCTGTAAATACACTTGTGTATAAAACTAAACCGTTTTGGTGTCTGCATATTCTTCAATCAAAAGTTCGGAGAAGGGCTATTTTGAGAGAGATTTAATGGGATTTGTAACGTAAAACCTCAAATGCATATTGACTTACTAGTAACCAACATGACTCTGGAATACAAAGTGTGGTTGTTGCACTTTTCCTACTATTATGTCCGTCTCCCAGCATCTAAGAAAATAATGTCCCCCACGCCAGAGAAACCCAAGAACGCGTGCCCTCAGAGGACTGCGTCTAAGCTGGGAAATGCGTAAAGCCACCAGAACACCGAGTGAGCTTTGGCCTTGCAAGACTGTTGTTTGCTGTGGGGATCTTGGCCTGCTCTGAAGAGACAGCAGTTCCGTGACACTCTGAAACAGCTCCTTGCCTCTGAAAATGAAAGGTGTTCTTCATTTGGGACCATCCAGAGCCTGTGTCCTACACATAAGAGCTGAGGTTCTTTTCGTACACATGCAAAGGATACCCATGCTCAATGATGCAAAGTGCAAAATCAACATGCAAGTACACACAGGAGCCTTTCGAGGTCCAGAGGCTGACGGGAATGAGGTGAGCAGAGGTGGGATGGAAGGAAGAGGTGGCAGTGTAAGTGGTTTTGAACTATGAATCCAGAAGATGTTTAACACAGCACTGGTTTCCAAAGAGGAGTTGGTGGCACTGACCCCAAGGACATCATAATGATTGGCTGCTTTGCATATTAATGAGGGCCACTGATAAAGACATTCTCTCTCAAGACCCTGAACAGAAGCTGAGTGTGTGCTGCAGCCCCACTGCTAGGCCTCGGCAGGGAGGCCCGCTTCAGGAGCTCGGAGCGCTCGCTCTGGAGAGCACTCAGCGGACAGACAGCACTTGGTTTCCCCCATTTAACCAGGTCACCCAGGCATGGAATGCACAGCTCTGCCAGACACAGCGCGCTTTGGATGCCTGAGAAACAACAGCTCGTCCGGGTCACTGATGCGAACAGAGGCCAGGGTTTCCATTTTCTCAGCTTTGAATGGCAGCCTTGACGTCACAACTGCTAGGAACTACTGCCAAGAGCGCCCTGGCTATCCTGTGGGCCGTTTTAAACTCGTTCTGGCATCTTCTGTGGCTGCAGAGTGTCCGCAGGAGCAGAGGTGAGTGACCAAACTTAAAAATAAAGGAAGTCTTCGGGCTGATAAAGCAGACCTTTGACTCAGCCAATCATTGTCTCAGAATCCAGGATGAACTACAGCTCCTGACAGACAGTCTCCCAGGGAGTGCCGGGAGCTGGTGGCTGCACTGCCACGTGGACTCCCCTAAGAGCGGCCGGCACCTAAGTCCCGGGACAGGCAAGGAGCAGGCAGCCAGTGTTTGTAAGAGACCCTCTCTTACTTTCCAGGGTGAAAACAGCCTCTGCAGGATTTTATAATTTACCCTCAAACAATTAAATATCGGCACTGGCACCCAACTGCAGGTGTCTGAACAAATGGGTGGAAATGTTCAAATGCCGGCAGGCTTCAGCTATCATCATCAAAAAGGAGTGTAAGCCACAGAGCAGTTGGAAAAGCATGATCTTTCATGTTTCAACCTCACTTCAAAATTATAGATTACATTTAGCTGTGTGAGTGTCAGATCACTTACATGCACCGTACGTGCTGTGCTCACTACAGACACACCGAGCGGTCTGTGGAGCGGATCTGACAGCCTGGGACCACCCCCTACATGGCCTCCAGACAGCTTTCTGTTGCCACGTCTGCCCCGAGTTCAGTCCTCTGTCAGGAGCACTAAGCTTTCACCAAACCCAAACCCCAGCCGCAACCACAGTCCTCATGGCCTGCTGGGACAGCTGATGCTAGAAAACCAGGGGCTGAGGGTCACCCCTGAGGGGTGGGGTACGGTGGGGTGGGGTGGGTATGCGTGTGTGTGTGTGTGTGTGTGTGTGTGTGTGTGTGCGTGCGCAATGTCTGGCCCAAGCACAAGCGATGATGATGTACTCACTTCAAAAGATAAAAGAGGATACAATTTGGATCCAGAACTCTCGCATAAGGCCCTACAATGGAGCACAGCCCTCATGCCTTCGGACTGTGCTCCATCTGAGGCCTGTTGTGGAATCTGGCCTCTGCTCTCAAATGACCTTCCCTGGGTAGGGAGCAAGCACTGTGTCTTGCTCGTGCTTTTAAAAGAACCCTGATTATACAATGGAGAAGATACAGCAAAAATTACTTTGTAACTGCATTTTCCCTCCCAAAAAAATGGGTGATTATCCTCAAGAGGTGAAACTTATTCTAGCCCTACCCTTGTTTTTATTTTATAGGAGCTTTTTTTTTTTTTATAGGTTAAGAACTATAATTAAGTTTCCTCTGAACTGATTTCTTAAACTTTTCAAGATGAGACTGATGGGACTTTTCAAACTGTTAAGTTTTCAAAAGAAAACAATTTGTTTTTATCCTTATGTAAGGCATGAGAAACGAGAGAATTTTTTTTCCATGTGGATCTTGATTAGAATTTTTTAACGTTCAAATTCCTAGTTATAAATCACAGTAAATAATTAGTCATTCATTCAGAAGCAACTATCGAAAAGGTGGTATTTAAAAGAGCAAAAATAAATCATGATGTGATTAAAATTCTACGCATGTCTTCACTTCAAGGCGAACACTGTGCCCATCTGGGTATTTAGTAGGTGCCCCATATCACTGGGGTCTAGATTTAATTATGTCATAAAGAAGGCACCGTACTTCATTTGTTCACAAAAGATCCCAGAACTTTACGGTTATGACAGTGGCGTGAACTGTTAACTAAGGTGACCAGATGTCCCGCTTTTGGCGGTGGGACAGTTCTGATTTTTAACAATTTGTCCCATGACCCATGGCATTTTTAAAGAGTCCAAAAGATTTTAAAGAATCTTTCCAAAAATCAGGACTTTTTTTAAAACGCTGCAGGACGCGGGACAAATTGTTAAAAATCGGAACTGTCCCGCCAAAAGTGGGATGTCTGGTCACCTTACAAAATGAGTCTTTTATTTTTAAATCATTTAAACATTGGATCAAGCGCAAATGTGAACAAACTTTCAATGAACTAGTTTTCTAATAAGGCAAGGTCATTTTAAAGATAATTTCCAGCTGTGGCAGATTTCTGCTTGAATTTCCTCCTCTGCTTAAAGGCCCTGGCTGCTTTTAGTCAGAAGGGCCAAAAACACGAGAGACAAGAGTTGTTCCCTGGGGGACTCGACCCAGATCCCGAGACCTGAGACACCAGCCATGTTCCCTGAACAGAAGGCATTGCGTTTGCTTGATCTAGTGGTGAGGACCTGAGAGCTGAGACCACAGCCCTCCCTCCAGGGGACAGCAGACAGGGAAAGCCCTGGGCCCAGCGGCTCCTGCTGTGCAGGGCTATCGTGGTTGCAGTCACTCCTGCGCAGGCAGACTGGCCAGCCAGGGGGCTGTCCTCAGCAGGGAAAGTGGCCTTCCTTACACCCACACCCTCCTGTCCACTGAGTGCGGCACACACAGCAGGCCTGATTCCTGTTTTCAGTGTGAGGACAATGATGAGACTTTTCCATACATCTTCTTTAGGAACAGATAAGCACTGTAAACACAGAAATGAGCTCTCCCTTTTCTAGTTCTTCTGAAAATGGGAACATAGCAACTTCTTCTAAGAGAATATGTATATTATGTATATCATGTATATCAAACCTTATTTGTTAAAAAAAAAATAATAATAACATAAAAAGCTTTCTCCTCTGGTTTATCAGAACTCAGCCAAGAGTCACCATCAACCCTAAAACACTCATGTGAGAAATTAGCTTTTTACAGATCGGCATTTCAGCTTGTTAGGAAAATCCCTCCCTCCCTCCTACCTATCTACTATTTACATATGTCATGACACTAATCTCTAAGAGTGACTCTGTACTAGACAGCTTTGTAAAAACCAAAGTCTGTATGCTCATAAATCTACCTTCTGTTGTTACCCTTAGTTTCTGAATATGTACACACAGAGTTAACACCAGGTTTAATTCAGATTCTTTACTGTACATGTTCGTTTCCCTCATAGCACATCCTCGCCTTTGCAAGCCACCCTTTTCGCCCACTGTCCTGCAGCTTCCACGGAGGAAGGACTGATGTCTGGGCTGTATAAACACTGTGGATGGAGGGCAGGAGGGCAGGAGAGTGGAGAGAAGAGACAAGTCGTAAGAAGAGGAAGGAAAGGAAAAAGTGTTGCAGCAACACCTGCACTAGTTTTAGAAAATGCAAAGACTTTCAGAGTTTCATCAGAATACTCATTTGTAGAACTGAAAATTCTTTGTAACCATTATCTCATAAATCTCAAGATAACCCCCAGCAATCTTTTAACATTAAATTTAAACAACTGTTTATGACTCAGAGGCAGAGCAATGAGGATACTGCTCCTTGATCTTCCATGTTTTACTCATACGCCAGCCAGCATGCAAGCAGGCACTCCTGTGACTGACCTTCCGCGTCCTCTGTGTGTCAGAACAGGCTACGCCTCTCTCCGTTTAAGAACAGTGATAAAGGTCTGGTATTTCTGTTTGTTCGTGTCCTAGAGACACAGAGCCTTGATTTTAACCGTGGGCATACATGTGGAAAAGAACTAGTTCTCAGGCGAGTCTTCTCATTGTTACCACCCACGTCAGCATGCAGCTTCCTGGTGACGAAGCAGAGCACTGGGTCGGAGGAGGACCTCAGAGCGGAGGACCAGGAAGGCAGGTGTGTCACCAAGAGGGTCCCCCCGATCGATCGCCCAGCTGTAGGGAGAGCGTCAAGGTGCTCTTCCTCACGCAACGTACCCTACACTGGGCATCGCCACCCACACAGGGCAGAGGAGGACTTGCCCTGCTCACACGGCCCATGGCTGACAGAGCTGCACCGCAGACCAGGGCTCACAGGCTGGCTGGCTGCAGCCATCACGCGCACCGCAGAGAAAGTGGGAACACAGACTTCTTCTAAGGGAAAGAAAACTCCAGAGAGATCCTCGTGGTTTTGAAGCATCTTGTCTAGGAACCGTTACTGACATGAAGCTTAACCTGCTGAGCTGAGTGCAGCCCCAATCTGGTCCGTGTTTGCCACGACGGGCTTTTGCCTAAAGCCCGGCTGTCGAGGCAGAGATGGACATGAATGCCATCGTCCTGGGAACTGTGAGTATTAAAAAGATCAAAGCATGCCCTTGTGCGCCTTCATACGGGTCTTCCGTGATAACCTGCCTTCTGAAAAATACATTCAAACTCAGTTCCGGCCGGAGCACAGTCGATTGAGATCGGAAATTCGGCTTTCTAAAACATTTTGATCAGTTAAATTTCTTAATCACGTTGTTAGCCGAGGGTCCACAATATGCCCAGAATAATTAAGATGACAAAGTAATAAACCACTCCCTGCACGCAAGCAGTCCATACTCTCTTTTCTTCTCCCTTCTCCTCCTGCACGCCTGCATCTTCTCCTCGACTGGTGTGGCTCAGGAAATCAGGCAAACACCTTCCACAAACACCGGAAGCTAAACTGCACGTCACGACACACAGCACACAGGCAGAGAGGTGTCAATTCTGACAGCCTGGCTCGTTCACCTGGGTCCTGACCTGTGTCACCAGTGTCCCAGGAATGTGAGGACCATCAGCTGGGGCCTGCTGACGGTGGGGAGGACTGACATATTCCAGTGTCATCTGCAAGAGTGTTTCCAGGTCTTGCTGCAGCTCCCAGCAGCCCCAGCAGGAGATGGAACCAAGCAAGGCCGACTGATCTAGGATCTGATCCTGGTGCCAAAGTGAGCTTGTCAAAGGCCCTCAGGACAAATTGTGTTTTCCAAGGCTGGGGCTTGGCTTCTTTGCTTTAAAAAGGGATTCTTAGTATTTACTGCAGTAAAATTGAGCACTTTCAAATTTCTGCCAGATCCCCTGGAGAAATATGGTTTTATTAACACCAAACAAATGTGGTGTTTGAAAGGCAAGAGACCCAGATTCCAGTCCCTGGCCCGCTACTGACTCATTGGGTGGCTTCAGGCAAATAACTTACATCAAGTAGATGGCATTTGCAATGAGTACAGAGTGGGCACTTGGTGGGAGGTCAGTGCCCTGTGAGGTCTGAGGACAGTTCAGTGTGAAACTAAGTCAGTAGAGACAAGGCCCTTTGCCAGGTCCCAATGCCTGGAGTGCTGTTTTGTGGTTGGGTTCAAGGTGGCCCTAACATTTTTTAAAACTTGAAGTGGAAGACACTGGGTAAGATCTGCCATTTAAAATGGGGAAGATCCACAGAACAGCTAAGAGCACAGCTTTTAGGCGCCAACTCGGTGGATTCAAGTCCTGGGTCTATCACTTTAGCATTTTAGTTTTGTTTGTTTTTTTGTCTGTAAAATATGAATAAGTAGTATCTACCAGTCACAGGCTGTTGTGAAGATTAATTAGGTGGTTAATTCACGTAAAGTAAGCACCCAGTGAGCATTAGCTATTAGCTAAAAGTTAACCAGGTACTAAAGCCAAATATAATAATTGAGTGTACATGTTTTCATTTTTAATTTATATATACAGTTTTATTTGGACCTCATGAAAATCCCAGAGAGAGTTACTAACATAATAATACTTAAACCTTTTTATAGCCCTTTAGGGTTTACAAACCACTTTCCCTTTATTTTCTAGGAAGCTCATATTATTGTCACTTATTCTTTTACAAGTCACACTTCAGCAACAAAAACAAATATAGAACTTTAAGAAATAATATTTTAAAAATAAGTATCTCAGTGGCTGGGTTAAATAGCATGCTAGAAGTGGCGGGAGATACGATGCTTTAGATGCGGTCCACATGCCGTCATCTCCATCCCAGACCTGTCTCCCAAACGGCAGGCTTACACAGCCACCTGTCTGCTCGACGCCTGCACTGAGCCCTAACAGCCATCTCAGTGTCGCCATGTCTAAGGCAGAACTGCTTCCTCCCTCCCCCATAAACAAGACAATGGGTAACTGTGATACAGTCACAATGACTGGAGTTTTACAGCAACACCCTAGAATATTCCTGCAAGACTTCTGGTGGGCTTCACTCCATGGTCGCACAAGGCACCGCTGCACACCTAGCCCTGCCCTGACTACATGGGCTGCCAGTGCTTTCCCTCCAGCAGCCACAGCAGCCTTGCTTTCTACTTTCCCTCCCTCTTCCTTCTATTCCGTCTTTAGTCTTCACTCCTCCCTCCCTCAGTGTATGCAAATTAACCGCCATCTTTGTTGGTTTAATTTGCATACTCGCTCTGATCGGCTGGTGGGTGTGGCTTGTGGGCGTGGCTTGTGTAGTGGAGTGATGGTTAATTTGCATATTACTCTAATATTAGGTTAGATATGCAAAGGAAGTGCAGTTATATCCCCAACCACATGGATGCATTTTACAAACATAACATGAAGGAAAAACAAACTGCAGAAAGCCACATGAAGTGTGACACAAATTTTATGTGTCTAAAAATACCTTTAGCACCCTGGATGGTTTGGCTCAGTGGTGGAGTGTCAGCCTGAAGACTAGAGAGTCTCAGGTTCAAATCCCAGCAAGGGGACTGACCTCAGTACCAGGTCCCAAATAAAATAAATAAAAATACTTTTAGCAATGCACATTTATGTGATAAAATATATTTGCTTGAAAAGTCAAGAGAATTATAAACACAATTTCAGAATTGTGAGGAAGTTGGAGAATGACAGAAACAAAGTCCTACAAAGAAATCCAAAAGTATGATAATTGTCTAACTGTTCAATTGGGTGGTGGCTCACTAGAGCACGTTTTGTTTTGATTGTGCTTTAGTGCTTACTTATATGTTAGATATAACCTTTCCTATGTATCAAATAATCAACAAATTAAAAAGACAGAAATACAACCCATAAAAATAAATTGCGTTGAAAGTCAGACTTCAAACCAATAAGTAAGCAGTGAAGGGAAGTAAATCTTGCTAAAAAATATGAACAAATTAATGTACACTAACAAAGCTGGTTATGGGATATAATTACTTTAACAAGTAATTATATAACAAGGATGAATGAAACAGGTATGTGGTGCATGGATCAAATGCCAAGAGGAAAGTGGCCAGATTTACAGGTCAGAACAAATTCATTAGCAACCTTTTTCCTATTTTGCTAGGCCTTCTTTCTTAAGGATTGACGTTACTTGTTTTATGTGATGTGTTTAGCAGGTAGACGATCCAAGGCCGCCAGGGACGAGAACATCTCCCGGCCCCGCGGGCCTCGGACCCCTGGAGCCCGGGCTTGCCCAGAAGCTCAGAGCCGCAGCGGGAAGGTGGTCTTAGAGTCACTCTTTCTTTCTCCATCAGCACTAATAGCAGACAGTCTGTTGTAGGTAGACTCAGAACCTCCCTTCCTCTTTCTAGAACATCTAAGATGCCACTCTTAAAATGAACATACTAGCACAGACTATTCTGGAAGCAAGTGAAGAGCTCAAAGCAACCGTAGGCATGAGATGCCTTGTGCATTTATCTGTTTGAACAGGCATAAGACAAAGAGGCCTGCGCACTTCTTGTCCTTTTCAAATGAGAGCTGGTTCTAATGAAGTGGCCAGGAAGGAGAAGCTGGTTGGGTTGAGATTTGGCAGGGGCTTAGGTAAAGAAATGCCTTTGTAGCTGGTCCTAAATATTATGGTAACTTGGACTGAGTTAGTCTCCAAGGGAGAAGTCGCCACATGTTACAACAGAAGCCATGGGGCTTGGCAAGGAAGGGGATGAAAGAATTACAATGAACGCAACACCGTTTCTCCATCACGGCGAAGACGTGCCGGCCAGGCTTACTGCCCGGGGCTGCCGCCTGGCCGCTCACATTAACCACTGCGCTTTCAGATCAGCCTTCACCGCATCCTAAAATAAATACTCTGAATTTCCAATGAACTCTTCAAGGAGACCGTTTCCTTCCTTCTTACTAGAAAAATGAACAAACAGTTCATAATAGTCGGAAAAAAGGAGTGCCCATGACACATTCCAGTGCCATCTGCAAGAGCAAAAATTCTGATTTTGAGAATGGTGGGAAGTAAATTTTCCAAAGCTATTAATTTTATTGCTCCTGTGCTGTTTGTTTTATTTTGTCTTTGACACTATCGATATCCCACCCACCTCCACCTGTGCTCTGTTTTAATGTATGCACCAGTCTTCCCCATTTAAATTTTGAAAAATGACATTCTTGTCTCTGTTTTGCTATTTTGACTGGTAGTTCCCAAGCATAAACTGCCCTGCTCTGAGGCTTTCCAAAATGAAGAGGATGCTCAGACTGCCACAAAGCAGGTCGCTAATGAGTTTTACTGAGTGGCTCTTTGCTCCTGCATGGCCTGGGTTTGGATATACATTCTAAGGCTTATTACACACCAATAACAATGGAGCTTCTAGCTATTCAACATCATCTTAGGTGAAAAATATTAGAAAAGGCATAGGCTCACAGAATAAGTATGTACACAGACCTGTATATTTTATGAAACACTATGAGCCCAGAGCTGACTCTTGTAGACCATGCCATTTTTTTTTTACAAAGAAAAAAAGAAAATGCATGCTACTTACTTAAGGTCTTCAGAGATCATCACATATCTTCACAATTAAAGGCAAGACTATAAGTTTAGGCACTGAACACCAAAAAGCTCTGATTTCTATTTTTTGGTCCACGTCATCATAATTTACTATTCTCAATAGGGAAAATAAGCTTATATAATGATGCTGAATACACTATCTAGTTTCCAATTATGAGAATCAAATGAAATGAATTAAACTTTGACAAAAATGAGGCAAAACCTATATATATTAAAGCCTAAGCGACTGAATGACTGGATGGCCGGTCGCTATGATGCACACTGACCGCGAGGGGCAGACACTCAACACAGGAGCTGCCCTCTGGTGGTCCATGCACTCCCCACAGCAGGAGTGCTGCTCAGCTGATCTACGGGTGACAGACTGACTGGGCTCGAGCCCACAGCAGGTGCAGCAGGGCCAGGATGAGCAGGAGCCGCAGGCAGGAGTGGCAGATGGCATTGGACTGCCTGTTTCGGCCCAATCCCTGCAGGCCATGCCAAAGGCCTCTAGCATAAATCTAAATAAAGCAGTTTCAGTTTACAAACTGGCTTTTCATGTACCACCATGTATTTCATTAAAAAAGAAATGAGAGTATTTATGAGACAGGTGACAAACTAAGGGGTGTGTGTGTGTGCACATGCACACGGAGAGAAAGACACACAGAGAGAAACAGAGAGGAGATGGGATAATGAAAGAAACAGAAAACTTTAGGAATGTTTTTTACAATGCATCATTGGATGTTTTCCTTAGAAAGCACCAGTATTGTTCAGATGCTGTCCTAGACCAGTGTAGAGTCCAAGCTATAACAGAGCAGCCTTGGGTGCTAATCCTAGGGATGCACACCTGGGTATCTCTGGGGAAGGAAATTCACTGACAGAGTCACACAGCACCTGCCTGAAGCCAGGCTGATATGCTCGTCCTGGAGCACGGCAGAGAAAGGCAGGCGCCTGAGGGCTAAGCCACCTGAGTCTAAAGTACCCTTGCAGGTTGGTGCCCTCTCTCGCTGGCCCCCCTGCTGCCTGGTAGTGATCACAGAGAGCACAGTGAGCCTGTCAGTCACTCAACACAGATGCAGTAAGCACCTACTACGTGCCAGATCCTGCACTTAGTAGGTGCTGAAATACGTTGATGAAGTGGAAAAAAGTTCCTATCCTCCCGGAGCTTGTAGTCTGGCTGGGAAGAGTAGAGGGCCCAGGGAGGCACCGCACGGGCACAGCAGAGTGACTGAGAGCACCTGTGGGCATTCTTAAGATGAGGTTTAAGCCCTGCTCTGCCACTTACCTTGGCAACGTTACCTAACTCTCTAATCACCGCTGTCCTTCATGTGAAATGGGGTGATAGCGCTGAGAAGGCCCCATGAGATTATGTTTGTAAAGCACTTAAAGCAAGGGGCCTGGCACACGGGAGGCCGGGAAATGGCCGCTTTGCTGGTTATTCCCTCGGAGAACAAAGGGACATACACAAAGAGGTTCGCTACCTTCTTCCCCAGAACACACCCCAAACTGTTGGACAAGGAACTACACACGACACTCCTTGATCACGTTGTTACATGACTTTTGGCAAGTGAGATGGCCACCAGAGTCACTGGGCTGGAAAGCCCCACGGCCAGCCTGTCCCCTCCTCCGCACTCGCCACTCCCAGTGCCTGGTCCTTTCTTGGCCGTGTGACCACAGCACTTCCGCAGCCACGAATTTGGCACCTCCTCTCTCTGACTGCAACCCTACCCTGCAGCTCCCTGTACTAAGTACTTAGGACATTAGGGCAGCCCAAATCAATAACCCCAATAAACCCCAAACTCCAACTCCCACTGTGCCCCAAGTGGAGGACCAGCAACAACTCAGTCAGAAACTTACATGTTGCCTTTTATTCCTCTCTCCCCCTCTTCTTCCACATCCAACAAATCCCCAAATGCCAACACATCTACATCCTTTCCAAAAGTAAGTCTGATCACGCGGCCCGGCGGGTAAGTTCACCAATGCCTCCCCATGTCCTGAAGGAAATGGCCAGGTGCCCCAACACGGCTCCCGAGGCCTCCCCCGAGAAGCTGCTGCCTGCCTCTCCAGCCCGGTCACCTCTGACCTTTTCCATCTCATGGCACACAAACTAATTACCAAAATTCTGCGGCCACCAAACAACATGTTATATTTTTTTGGCAATCTGACAAAAAAAAAAAAAATGGGTTCGATTTCGATTCATTCGCATTGGATGGCTATTGTGCTGGCCGTTGTCATGTTCAATGTGGCAATCTAAGGGCAAAGAGGTCAGCGCCCCTGCCTAAGTAGTCAGGTGAGCATGTTCTAAAAGTGCTTGCGGCACACCGGCCGGAGAGCGCTGCTTAGCCTCATCTCCCTGCGACTGTCCCTCCATCCCAGCCTCACGATTTCGTGTGTCCCAGGTCTACCCAGCTGCTCTCCTGCCTCCGCATCTTACCACGTTCCCCGTCTCACCTTTTATCTCG